TTTTTTTTTTTCCCCTCATTCTATCTCAGATTGCCGAGTCATGGGAATCTTTGGATGGATGGTTTGATGCGATTCAATTAGTTTACACAATTTTATGTTTTAGCCGGTATAATAACTGGATAATTTTGTATGCGTAAATCATCATGGACAATTCTTGTTATTTCCTGGGGGAGGCCTTTTAATGTTTATGAACTGTGAAAAAACTATTGCTTCATGTGGACTTGTAAATTATTTTGAGTATTTCCATGCAATGGGATTCATAGAGATTTCTTCCTTCATGGCTGCATTCTGTCCCTAATTTCATTGAAAAGTGAACACTTGAAATCTCAAAAAAAAGTAACGTTTCATAAACATTGGGTTTATTCATAAAATGCATGTGGCGTTGCACAATGGTGAACTTGTTAATATACTCTTATTATTTTATACACTGGTGTTCTTGTATTTTATTTTATTTTATTTTTCCCCCCCTTTTTGAGTCGTGTCGTGCTAACTTTATTGCTAGGTTTTAATAGGATAATCATTTGTCTTGCCTGATTGTAACTAGTAAGATACCGATTGTAATTTACTAATTATTCTACATCGTCGCAAGTATGAAATCTATAATTGTCAACATGGCCAATCTATGAAAGCGGTCTCCAGTGGTGGTTAAAAGCTAACCTTGGTTTTTATTTCAAGAAATATTCTTTTACTTTTTCAAGGAAACATATCTTTTATTTTCCGATCTTTAAATTTAGCCCCGATTAAATTTATAATACATTTTTTCTCTCTTCTTTTTAACCAAACATTCTCCAATAATATAATATTAAACACAACAAACAAATTTCCTTTTTCTTCAACCACACATTTTTATAAAAATCACTATTCTAAAAATTATAACATCAAATAATGTGAGCCAAACATGGGTTTAGTTTTTAGCCTCTTCTTTCTCCTTGATTGGTGTGGTAGGAGGTGGGCAGTCGGGGATGGCGATGACAATGGCAATATCTTAAAATATTGTTAAACATAACCTTCAATTCCATTCTTTATTGATGCCATGAATTACACAGAAACAACAGAGTTAATCTCTCCTCCTCCCCTCTAGGCAGGCAAGAATGTCATACAAATTGGGGGATATATTTTGGCCAAGGCAAGAACAGATGAAGGCAGTATCCAGAGACCATCCCCACATATTAAACCAGAAGCCACAGCAGGAACCATTAACTCTGCCTTCTTGGAGTTAATTTTATACCACAAAAACACAATCAGAGTCCCTACACACATATCAATAGCAAAATACCCTCCGATTAGGAATGGTACTGCCATTGCTGTAGGAAGTGGCATCCATTTTCCAATTCTTTTGGGAGTAAAATCTTTAACCACATTAATACCGACGGCAAATGCGAAGAACCCACAACAGAGTTGCAAACAATGCTTTGGCAAAGCAGAAAATCCTTGCACTCCAAGAATTGCCAAGTTTCTGTAAATTATAGCATATGGGGCCTTGTATTGTCCATTAGGGTTCCCAATATCAAATGGCTTATAGAATAAGAAGAAACTTAAAGGTGAAACTAAACAACCCAAAAATGTTCAAAGTGTCTGGCTTAATAGCATTGCTCTAGGTGATGTTAGAGTCAAATGGCCTGCATCAAAAATGTCCCGTTGCGCAGTGACAAATACTAATCTGGGCAGCAAATCATTCGTAAAACAAAAAATTGAACACATGCAAAATGATGAAAAATATCTAACAACAATCCCAATTTAGGTGCCATTAATGTGCATTAAATGATAGGGGGAATTAAATAAGTTTTTTTAATTTCATATTTTATCACTGAAATTGTAACCTCAATGAAGCTAAATAGCATTACTCCAATAATAACAATAAGTACACGAAACAACCCTTCTTCTCTTATTCCTATGATACAATAAAATAGATTTGAGAGAAAAGAAAAGAAAGTACAATCATATAAATTACTTGTATATTTTACAACGTGAAGCAGAACTTACGCAGAAGAATGGCCAATTGGAAAAGCTTCATATGGGTTATGCTTTCTTTTTCGATCAAGTCCTAATACCATGGAATGGTCACACTCTTAAATAATCTAAGATTTTTTACTTTTATATTTGTGACTGTCTGCTTATAGAAGGCTATACTCTAGCATAACCGTCTAGGATGCCCAAAATACCAGGAAAAAAAATATTTATTTTGTACTAGGATGCAAGAACTTGAGAAATTATGTAGATTTTTTTAATGAAATATTGTTATGCCGTCTCTCTCCATTGATGATAATTGCAGAAATGTTAGGATTTTATAAATTAGTAGGTAACATATGCATCATGCATTACGAATTTCTGCTAATGACAACCGATAGTAATAATCTACATATTACTAATTAGGTTATTTTTATTTCGAACACGTTTAAATATTATTAAGAGATGTGTTATCCCACATCGATTTAATACCGAAATATACACCAATTTATAAAGATCTTGGAATTCTCCACTTAATAAGGTTGATCTAATTGAGATAGACTTCAAGTTTTAACATGGTATTAGAACTACCTCATGGATTTCAAGATTTATTTGCTCAAATGAGCCACCATCTTGAAGGGGTCTATTAAGGGATGTGTTATCCCACATCGATTTAATGCCGAAATAAATACAAATTTATAAAGATCTTGGATTTCTCCACTTAATAAAGTTGATCTTATTGAGATGGACCCCAAGTCTTAACAAATATATTGTTTATTTTGAATTCCTTAATTCTTACTTTTAAGTAAGAAAATTTAAAAATGAGTGACTTTTACGATATCAACTTTGATTATTTATCCATTTTAGAATTTCTAAGCTTAGCAAAAAATGCTCTTACTTTATGTGAGAGAGAGAGAGAGAGAGAGAGATTGATTTAATACGAATATTTTTTCGCTATTCAAATCCAAAATAATTATATTTGTTTTCCAAAAAGAAAAAGAACAACTACATTTTTTAGCAATTACAAAACTAAGTCATGCTAATTTTAGTCTCTTCCTTCCAAACTTGTTCTAGCAAAATCCCATCTCTTAGAGTATCTCCAATGTGAGTAGATCGGATATGGATCGAATCTGCTCAAATCCAATCCGATCCGCTAAGAATAATTATCCGATCCAATAATCTGACGGATATTTGAATGTTAAATCCAAATTCGATAAACTATGTTATTGAATATACGATCTGATAACCTGATCTAAAATTAAAAAAATTAGAAAAATAAAAATTTTATTTATTTTTTAATTAAAAATCATTGTCTCAACAACATTTTAATTAATTATTTATTTATTTTAAAAAATATTTGAACTATCTTGATTGGCTCACTTCTTATATTAGAAGGTCCAAATCAATACTTTTTTTTTTTTTTCAAGTGATGCTCCTTTTTAAAAGAGGCTCCTCTTGAAATGTTTTAGTATATTTCAATGTGAGATACAAGCTTTTTAAGGATTCTCCTCTTCCAATGATTTAGTAATTTTTCAATATGAAATACTAATCATAATCATTTGTCAATTCTAAGTGTTTACTAATTTACTTTATTATTTTCATTAAAAGTTATAGCCCCAATAAGATTTTAATTGTAAACAATATCAGTTTGAACAAAGTAAATTATTTTGGACATATTACTTATTAGTTTTTTATGTTATAAAATAAATTACTATAGTAAATCTAATCAATAAATTAATTGTTGATTTTATCTTATTTTAATTAATAAAAAAATTAAATCTCTTCAAAAAATTTCAATTAAAAATATTATACTATTTATTATTTAAAAATTACTTGAAAAGTATAATACAATTTTCAAAATGAAGAAAACAGTGTCATAAATTATGCGATAATATAAAAAATATAATATATTATTATAATAAATCGGATCAGGTTGTTATCGGATCAGATTGACCTATATTCATATTTGATTTATTTACTTAACGGATTATTAAATTCGGATCTCGATCGGGTTATCAGATAGAGACCCTAAATCCATCTTCTATTAATTTCATCGGATTCAGATCAAAATTCAATCCATTGACAGTCCTATCTACGTGGCATACAAATAGAAAGGCTTACGATTTATGTCACAATGATGTCTAATAATATATGGCTAAGTGCAAATGCTAAAGTCTACAATTGCTTGTAAGCTGTTCAGACTTCATTTTTTATCTACCAATTCCATCGGATTCACAATTATTACCTACTTTTTAACTACACATTCCTATGTGATCTAAATGAAGCAAGCATGAATTCATCACTAATTGATTCTGACTATAAAACATGTTTGAGAAGTGTTTATAAACGATTTAACTATAAAAAGGACAGATATGAATGATGGATAAATGGATATTTCATGAAGATCCGACAAAATGTGTTATAGAAAGAGGTTTAATTGATAAAAAATAGTTTACAAACATTAGCAAAACATAGGCTATAACAGATTTTCATTTCTAACGTGTATATTTAATAGGAAATGGAAAAAAATAGGAATTAGGAGTGAGATCAAACTCCTTCAACATCTAACCGTCTCTACCTCTTCACTTAAATTGCATTGCAGAAGAATTTTCACAGATATTGTTTGTTTTACTAATGTGACAAATTTTTATTGCAATCCACAATATTGGAGATATTCTTATAATTCAAACTTTTAAAAGCTGTGTACAAAGCATATCACATACATTCATCTTAATATTTTCGTTTTACTGAGTTCTTCTTAGAAATATATTAAACATTATTTGGTCTGGTGTGAAGACGGCAACATTGAGTTGGAGGGAGATAATGGTGGAGATTTTTTCGTTCGCACAAGTTTGGAATATTTAAATATCTTTAACAGATGAGAATAATGAACATTTGAATTTGATTGGCCAATCGGGTCAAACAGATGCCCCTTGTCCTCTTGGGATGTTGAAATGGATTTATAATAATATAACAAACATTATTATATTGTTCACTCCTACATAATGACACGTAATATTTGTACGAACTAATAGATATGAATGTCGGGTGGGTCGATTCGAATATTTCAATATCCATAACCATTCATTACACTTTGAATATTTCATAATGAAATCATTTTGGTCCATGTAATTACAGTAATCAAACACGAACCTGAACCCTAACCATCGATTTGGAAAATTAAAAAAAAAAAAAAAGTGAATTGCCAGTACAAGTTATCTTATCAATATAATAGGAAAAAGAAGAAATAAAATATGTCACCAATTACATATTTCAATATTTTCTTAATCCATTGTAAATATGTCATCATAATATTCAATATCTAGTATAATAGCATCCAATTTCGATTATAGCTCTATATGCGTCACCACACGAAGGGAGTATGGAGGCGGATAGCGCATGAATTGCAATCAAAAGCAACTATGAATGAGAATTATATGAATCAGTTATTCAAAAATAAATTGATTGATTTGAGTACTAACTATTTGAGTTTTGCGAATTTGCTACTTGAGCCGATTAATCAGGCCGAATTGAACAAATTGTAAAAAATAAAAGATTCATAAAAAGAACAAATTTAGTTTTAGAGTCGGATACCCTAGATTTCGATTCCAGCTAAAAATGTCGACCTCTAGCAACTAATATAGAGAGTTGTCTATGAAACATGAACATAACTTGCACAAGCTAATCATACAAAGCACTACTTTTCAACTAATTAAGTCTTTCTTTTAATTATCACATTGATATCATTTGATGAGTACATAAGGACGAAATTAGATAATGAATTGGCTTATTGAGCCATAGTCCTGGCCTCTTGAGATGACAACCTCGAATTACTTCCATGAATTTGTCTCGGATGGGTCGATGCTAACTAAATGCTAGAAACATGGTTGATACACGATACACAACATTCATAATAATTTCATGGTAAAATTATCTTCAAAATTACACTATAACATAGATTTTACTAACCAAAAATATAACAAAATAAATTAGGAACTACATGTCCTTCTATAATTTAGCCCTTGTATGGTTTAGATAAAAACCCTAAACATATTTGTTCAAATGAAATAAAAAATATGTTCAACCAAAGATCTCAACTTTGTACAGTTCTATTTTTTCACAATTTAACTGTCCATGCCTTCTCTAGAAATTTGTACACCAACAGCAAAAATTGACCGTGGATTGAATTTTTCTTTGTTCTTCTCATTTGTTTTTTCTTATTTAAGAGACACTATCTCGTTTTATCATCTCTACTCTTTCTTTCTACCTCTTTCTTTTTTCCTCTCCAAAATAAAGTATGTTCCTCCTCTCTATCTCTCTCTCATTCTTTTTCATATCTCTTTTTTCACACGTGTCTGACACGTGCTCATCGATACTCTCGATATTAAATATTCCATCATCCAACCAATAAAAATGTTATATATATATATATTTGATTTTGCAACTAAAATTAAGAACAAGACTAAAATGTTCGATTCTCTATTTTAAGCTCAAAGTTAGTTAAATTTTAATTGGAATTAAACCAAACCAATTGAATCCTGTTCTAATTTGACTCGAGTGGCCCCCAACAAAAATGTTGCTGTTCTCTAACATTTTTCTTGCCCTAATTTCTGTTGAGAAAACGTTTCATCCACCACTTAAAATTCATTTATGTCATATTGATGATGGAATTATAAGATGTGGAGCCCTCACATGCACCGCAATAATGGATTAGAACGTGAATGGAATAACTTGATCATGATTTGGAATCCTTTAAAGTATAATATCAAGAGACTATTCTATCAAAATATTTTTATATTATAGGGAAAAAAATTAGGGAAATTTTTGACGATAAAAAGAAAATTTCGGTTGATTAGGGGGAAAAAAGAAGTTAGATATATAGCAGTTTTAGTTCTTGATAATTTTAAAATATATCTATTTTTCTTCTTTTTATTTTAAGTTTTCATTTTATGATACTAGTCCATCGTCTTTTCTATGTTTTAATCCCTCTTTTTTCATTTTGCTTTCTAAAACTTCCAGTAATTACCAAATCTCATCTATCATAACAATTTTCATCCAAACCGTCCATTGAAAGAGCATAAAATAACTTATTTGCTCATCGTATTATGAACTTACAAAAGTCAAAAACGATAGAAAGTGAGGTAAAAAATCGCTAAACTAATCCAAATTCAATATTATTTTGAGATCTAGATATGTTAAACATGCTTATCAGCTATTAAAAATATCAAGATAAAATAAAGATTGCAATGAGAATGACCCAACATCTTGTTAAAAAGTTCTCAACAAATTTATCAATTAGGTATATCATTGCAACATAAAAAAAGAAAAATTCAAATTAACTCTAATATTGCTTGTGTAGAAGTTGACTCTTGAAGTTTACAATCTCGTTGGATTAATTGAATACCTTGTAGACTAAACTTAAAAGAACATAATGAGCAAAAAAGTTGCCTTATTCAACACTTGAATGCACTAATAAACTAAATGAGAAACGCAAAAGGGTACAAAATACTCGAAATCAAACCCCACGGAATATGTTAAGGGGGACTATGAAGATCTTAAAGTCTTATCAAAAGATAATTTATGATTTTTTGGCAAGATGGGATAAAATCCCAAGTACGAATTGGCTTCTTTTGCACATGATTAAAGTTATTGACTCATTATTCTTCTTT